CGAAAAACCTGTATTGAATTTTAACAGAGTTTCCCCCAAATTTTCCACCGTTGGTCAGACGGTGTTTGTTTACTAAAACTTCAATTCTCCACATCGGCATGCAATTTGAAAACACGGAAGTCCCCTTCAATTTTATTCAATTTTTCGGATTGCATATCATCAATTATTAGCGCCTCAGTTTCTTTTAACTTCCGTATATTACAACGGCAGGCAGTATAATATCGCGGAAAAATTCAAAAATTCTTCACAAAAAGAAAAGCGCTTTTCCTTATGAAATGCACTCGTGCGGCAGCCAGGAATCCGCTAATTTATCATATTTTGGGGTTAATCTTGGGTTAATTATAAAGCCTTGAAAAGGCATGCAGTGAAAAATGGGACAATGTCACCTATATCACCATCTCCTGGTCTATGACAGTGAACGAGATTCGAACACTACGAGACTTGATAGAAGAGACTCACCATTGAAGTCTTTCATCGAGTTGTTAGACCTTCATTATTAGTGTCACAGAAAAACTAATGAAACATGATTATTCAACCTAGGATGAGTCGATATCGAGATATTTTCGAAATTTCCGCCTGGATTTCAAGGTCGCAAAATGGTATTTCTTTGTATCATTCCCTACACCTATCACATGCACCGGATATCTGAACTCTTTGAATTATTCCATGCAAAAAATACCTGACTTTTGGGCGAATTTAGATTTCGATCACTACAATCATCTTGTACAGAGTTTCTATAAATGATTGAAACGTCTTAGTGACCAATGTATTCTCTTCAAGGTGACGCGAAATGACATAGACTATAGAAAATTTCTTAGCTTTCACGTATTCCCAGTTGAATTAATCATGACAACGAATAACTTCGCACCTCCGATAATCTTTATTGTCATAGTTAAGTTCATAGATGATAAACAATCATTTATGGAAACCCCGTATAATTTTACTGCCTATTACTTGCATGGCTTATGTTTGTTCTCCTCATTGAAATAGAAAACTAAAAATGTAGTCTAGTACACTAATATTAGGTTAGTACTCATAATAAATATTTTGAATTCATTAATATGGAAGCTAAGTTTCCTATGAATTATATTCTCATTTGCGAAAAAGAATTCAATATCTACTTGAGCATATACAGGGTGAATCTGAAAGTGCGGTTTTCTTTTTAACAGGATATATATCTCCAAAATAACTTGTTTGGCAAAATATTGCTTTTTGTCCAACACGCTCCTCACTTTCAGATTCACCCTGTATTGTTGGCGTTAGACAAAAGTTTTCAGTATATTTTGCACCACCAGAAATCGTAGTCCAATGAAACAAATGAATAATTACACAATCGATAATTTCAAGGTCACTACAATGAAAATAACTTTATATTCGCATTGCAATAGGCGAGTGGACTAGTTTTTTTTCTTAAATAGAATCATCACTCAAATACCTTTCAATTTTATATTTTTTTAGAATTCTTCGTTCGATTTTAAGATGCTAAAATCAACAAAAATACCACGATAATTTTCAAACGGCTAAAAATTTACCGCGAGTAAAAAGGGACGTCACGATTTCGTAAGTAGGGACAGATCACAGCACAGTTGCCATATGTTGAAATACGATTGGAACTCCAGAAATAATAATTGTTCAATTATTCATAAATTCTCAATTTTAAATTGGTTATATTCCTAATGGGGAAGACCACTGATTTTCAAAAACGACATTATCGTGAGCTCTATACTGAAAAACTACCAGTGAATTAATTTCGAATTTTTTCATTCATGCTAAGACGATGAAAAAAATAAATTAGTATATGTCCATTTCAAAACACACAATTCCTGCGCCATTTGAATTTTTGTCAATTCATTGGTGTGACTGGTGCGACATCTTAGTCCCAACACGCCTATTGCCCTTGAACTGACCAATCACACTGCAACACTGCAGAATGACGAGGTATCAGAGAGGGATAGCTACAGTTCGGGACTAATACGTCACGGCTCCACCATCATATTCGGCTTTTTGAAATACCGAATGAAATATGCTGATTTTAAAATGATATAGATTCGATTCCCTTCAACTTCAACTCATAATATTGATTGTACATAAAACGTAAATCATGATTCGTCGATTGAAAGAGGTTTGTACGGATTTCTTTCCTCAGTGGTCTTCCCCATTAGGCATAAAAAATCAATTTTCTCAAAATATTTCCTCATATGATGTGGCTTATTGCTTATAATACATTTGTGTTAATAATATTATTATTATATTAATTCGCACTACAGGACATTTGAGAGTAAACGGAACAACACGGAATCACGAATTGTAGGCGGTGCCCTGTCAGTTCTCAGCATTCAGCACATTGTTGCCAAGTCTTCAACATCAACATGATATTTCGTTATGGAGTATGAGAGATATTTAGACATGCTGGTTGCTAGAGAAGGTGAAGAATGAACTTTTATATCATGGCTTCCTTATATTATGTTTCATCTCGTTTTTTATTCAACGACAGGACTCTAATCGTTTTGATAAATTGATTATAATTGGTGACTTGACAACATTGCTTCATGAGTGGAAAGGGAAGATTATCTGACCAATAACGAAACAGCATGAAAACTGACATTTATTCGACGCATTGCCAAATGGCGGCAATGACAGTACGTTTGGAATGAGCTCTGAAATTCAACAATTTTAAACAACGCATGGACTCATCATTATTCACTTAAAAAAGCGTGAGAAGTGTTGCAAAAATTAATTTTTCCGTCGACCTCGTATTAATGACTAAGTTTAATGTATATGAAATCGTTCATTAATGACCCCTATTAATGGACGATTTGTCTATTAATGCACGATTGTTTTATAGGCAACCAAACATACACCGAGTGCATTCATTGTTTATGCTATAACTAGCGGAATCTGCATTTAAATCGAAAATATGGATTTCATCGACGATTTTCCGTTAACGGGTTCGCCTTTCCAAGTTTCTGATACGATTTTCATCCCTGTTTTCTAACACAAGGAATTTATTTCCTATATATGTTGATCATTTCGACAAATGTCAAATGACACTAATGCCAGTAACAAGGCTACTGGGTGATTCTTAGCAGTTTCCGGATGGATGATGAATTCGCGAACCAAGTTTTCTTCATTGCAGGTAAAATGAGAAATATAGTCGACGGAAAAATTTTGTAACCAACTTGTATATTAAAAGGCGATTAATAATCTCGAACATTAACGCACTCGCTTCGCTCGCTCGTTAAAATATCTCGATCATTAATCGCGCTCATTAATACACTAGTTGGTTAAATAACTATAGTTTCCTAAAAAGACACACTGGGGTAATTGAATGCCAATAATTCATTATCAGTCCACTCGCCCATTAGCATGATGGCGTACTTTGTACCCATATATCTACTATTTCTATATATGGCGCATCGCCTATACGATATCTCAACAAAATGCGAGGCACTTTTCGAATCTACAGTGTGTCCCACTTACCATGCTCACCAAGGGTATCTTTTTAACGGTAAGAGATACGAGGTCGGTTAAATGACACCAAATGTGGAGTTTGTCAAGGCCAACTATAATGTGAAAAAATATTTTGATAAAATCTATTCGTTTTTGTTTTATACGCAAAAAACAGATTTTGATCATTTTCTTGTCTCCTCCGCAACTTCTTTATTTATCAAAATATTCAAATAGGAATTTCACATTCTCATGGCAGTTTTTCAAAGTGATTTCGAAAAAAATATGAAATTTATACCAACTCTTCTAGAATATGAGATATCAGCACCAACTTTAGTTTTTCAAATGTAGGTCATAGCTCACTATGACTTAGTTACAAATACCTTTTTTTTTTCTCTTACAGATGATATGTCACAGTAATAGTTTTGTGTTGATAACAACGGAGTTTTCGTCATTCGTACAAAACAAAAAATTATTCGGAAGCTGCCCTCTTGAATTTATGAATTTCAACAAAAAAATCATGATCTTCGACCTCGAAAACCCCCACTTACCAATTTTTAATGGAATCGGGCCAAATCTTGTCCGCCATCTTGGAGCAGCCATTTTTTTTAATTTCAACAAAAATTCCATAATGTATTGTCACCGAAATTATGAACACCTGCCAAATTTCAAGTTAATCAGAGTTATGGAATTTTTGTTGAAATAAAAAAAATGGCTGCTCCAAGATGGCGGACAAGATTTGGCCCGATTCCATTAAAAATTGGTAAGTGGGGGTTTTCGAGGTCGAAGATCATGATTTTTTTGTTGAAATTCATAAATTCAAGATGGCGGCTTCCGAATAATTTTTTGTTTTGTATAAATGACGATAACTCCGTTGTTATCAACACAAAACTATTACTGCGACATATCATCTGTAAGAGAAAAAAAAGTTATTTGTAACCAAGTCATAGTGAGCTATGACCTTCATTTGAAAAACTAAAGTTGGTGCTGATATCTCAAATATTAGAAGAGTTGGTATAAATTTCATATTTTTTTCGAAATCATTTTGGAAAACTGCCATGAGAATGTGAAATTGCTATTTGAATATTTTCATAAATAAAGAAGTTACGGAGGAGACATGAAAATGATCAAAATCTGTTTTTTGCGTATAAAACAAAAACGAATAGATTTTATCAAAATATTTTTTCACATTAAAGTTGGCCTTGACAAACTCCACATTTGGTGTCATTTAACCGACCTCGTATCTCTCACCGTTAAAAAGATACCCATGGTGAGCATGGTAAGTGGGACACACTGTATATGAGTAGTAGATATATGTTTCTACCCAACCATCAGCTGATTCTGTTGCACCTTGCGTCCCACTCTTATGTTGTCTTTAATGCATTGCTCTCTAAGCACTATCAAGAAGTTTATTCATTGACAGAAAAGGTGAAAAATATACTGAAAACTCCTGTACGTCAAGGTCAAGGTACCTTTCGAAACACGCAAAATGAGGAAATAATTCTCTCTTCTTACTGCTTCTAACACTAACCAAACCATTTCCAACTTGATAGGAGGAGCAGCTTGGAGCCCTAAAGAGAGCACGTACTTTGAAAAGCTTATTCTGGATTTCGGTAGTCGGTATCAGATTCAATCGATAGCGACTCAGGGACGCGGTAGGGGTTCTCACGAATACGTTACCGAATACATAATAGAATATTCGGACGATGGTGAAGGTTGGAAAAGTCTCCATGATCCTGAGGGAGAGACTGAGGTGCATATTAATCTCTTTTGGCGTTTTTCATATCTCGTTGAAAGTGTTTAGCTTGCCTACTCATCGCTAGGAGAGATCTCAGGGCTAGACGACCGGCCACTCAATAGAATACACATTACAGGAAATTAAGACTTATCTCGACTTAAGGTGAGTTCCCAATGCATCGTTTTTGCTTTTCGCGTCACGCGTCACGCATTCTGATTGGTGACGCGGAATTCAAGTACAATTTGAAGTGATGAAGTTAAAATATTTCAACTTTCCGGCGTTGCTGCTAGGTGATATGTCATTTATATTTGATTTTGGGCTGTTGTTTGCGGTTTTCTCTAAAGCTGGCTTAACTTGGGAAAGTAGCATATCAAAATGTTCAGGATTCATTTTAAAATAATTTGTAAAATATTTTTCATCCTGGAGCCTCTGTTGAACGTTGAGATTTAAATGGATGCTATGTGCTTTCCTCTGCTCAACTGTAATGGTAGGTCTGACCCAGCATGATCTTATTTTTACCTGTCTTCTTCGTTTTCTCAGTAGATAAGCTAATAGCAGCAATTTTCTCAATCTATTTTTGTTTCTTGCTTCCATTTTATTAGATTATTTTCATCTACTTCGACATTTTCCTGACAATAACGACATAGCTAAACATCATTCATTGGGAACTAAACAATAATCAAAAAAGCGGTACAGCAATTCCGAATTACACGTCACCAATCAGAGTGCGTGACGCGTGACGCGAAAAGCAGAAACGATGCATTGGGAACTCACCTTTAGACTGTCTCACTAGAGTCTAGCCATAGCACCATAGCGAGGTGATATTGCTCCTCGCTCGCTGCTCGCTGGGCGCGAGAAACTGAAAATTTCCGGCCTATTCTGAGAAGAAACATAATTAAAATAGCAAATCACTATCGGCCTAACCAATAAATGCCTCCATAGTATTTTTTCGATTAATTACTTCGAAAAAAAAAAAAATGAAAAAAAGATTAGCTGGAGTAGGGATCGAACCCCGGTCTGTTCGTTCCTGGATGGCAAAACATACTACAAAACGCTCTTGACTTGCCACCGTGGCAATATTTCCCGTATAGTGGTGCTATGGCTAGGCTCTAATGTCTGTCTCACGGTCGGCAAGCTAAACACTTCCTATCTCGTTTCTGTGTATATAATTGAGTTACTTTGCGCTAAGAACTGCTGTTTGCGAACTAAAACCTTTTTCTTTTGAATTCTGTGGGAGATTATTTCCTGTGCATGCCATCATCTTAGTTTCACTTTCATCTGATAACACGAAATGATTATAAAACGAGGGTTATTCTTTAGAAGATTTGACAGCCAATAGTTCCAGTTATTTTGCCAAATATTGTACATTGTTTCATTAGGATCAAATGTGACACTTCGTTTGACAAGCGATATGTTTGTGAGGCGGAGAGACCGCGATGCAGAGCACTCAAATTTTGCTATCAGCTGTCATCCGAATTTTTTTTAGTTCCTAGGAGTTGAACTTCTTTAGCTCGTAGACGCTGAAAGTTTTGCCTAGCAAAGTATGTACCGGGTGTACCACTAAGAAAGGACGCCGGCTGTATCTCGGAAACTATTTGCCGCACAGGTTTCGAAAAAAAATATGAATGATAAAAGTGGCCAAGAGAAATTATTTTCAAGTTTCCATGACAGCCCCTAGAGGGCGTAATGGCATTGGCCAGTTTAATGAACGAGATTTTATGAAAATTTGATATATCAAGACATATCAAAAACACTTTCTTCATGTTCTCGACTTGATTTCCAATCATTTCTATGAAAAAAATTGCGCTAGCTCTTTAGACGAAAGAGGGAGGAAAGGATGAATAGTACTTTGAAAAAACTTCCATTACAACAACAGTTTGGTGTAACGGAATTCAACAATCTTGGTCTCATTATGAAGGGTTATTTTGCTTCTTCCAGATGAATCACGAATCAAGTCGATTTAAATCCTGTGGTGGCCGTGGAAAATCAGACAATTTTCCATTTTTTTCGAAAATTTCAAATGGAACCATATATTCATTCTACTCTAATATGAAAGTAGAGCCATCAAGAAGAAAAATGGTGAAAACCGCGAATTGATGCCTTTTGAGGAAACGGTGAAATACTATTATGAAAATATTCACCACAGGAATGTAACTTCAATAATCGTCATCAGAAATATCCTGTATCTATGAAATTATGATTTCAATAATCCATTTATTTTGGTTTCACAAACTGCTGTTATATCTCACAATAGTGAAGGAGACTCTTAGTAATGACATAGCTAATTGAAATGTAAGTAGTGAGTATAGGCTCAGGAATGAGAAAAGGTAAGTTGGCTTTGAATGAAAGAAATGTTCCATTGAAAGTTTTCACTGTGGATTGCTTATTTGTCAAAATGCCGATGCTAACAGTTTAAATTTTAATATTATTCCGAGTATTTCTCCGGTTCTTCAACAGGTATCAACTCGCGGTTTTCACCATTTATCTTCTCGTTCACTTTACTTTCATATCATAGCAGGAAAAATATATGGTTCCATTTGAAATTCTCGAAAAAAAAAAGGGAAATCAGCTGATTTTTCAAACGATGCCATCTAGCGGCCACCACGGGATTTAAATCGACTTGATTCGTGATTTATCGGGAAGATCTGAAGAAACCCTTCATAATGAGACCAAGATCGCTTAATTCCGTTACACCAAACTGTAGTAATAAGAGTTTTTCTAGAGTACTATTCAACCTTCCTCCCTCTTTTATTTAAAGAGTTAGCGCAATTATTTTTGATCCAAATGATTGGAAATCTACTCGAGAACATGGAAAAAGTGTTTCTAATATGTCTTGATATATCAAATTTTCCTAAAAACCTGTTTTTTAAGTTGGCCAATGCAATTATGCCCTCTAGCGGCTGTCCTGGAAACTCGAAAATAATTTCCAGAGATTTTTCTTGGTCACTTTTATCATGAATATTTTTTTCCGAAACCTGTGCGGCAAATCGTTTCCGAGATACAGCCGGCGTCCTTTCTTAGTGGTACACCCGGTACATACTGGTCATATTATTGTGTCAGTAAGATAAACGTCAACTTCAAGAGCTAATATTGGATCAAAAATGGGCGACTCTTAAGCCGATTGCAGAAAAAAAAATTTATACCAGCATCAGTTTTATCGAGTTTTATTTAAGGTACCTTTTTGATTTTGAAATCAATGATGCTCCAATTCACATCAACTTCGGATTGAATAATCTAACCTCAAAAAGTTATGTTTAATACTACTCGGTAAGAACCGTGTAACTAGCGCCCTCTATGAGAGTCAGATAAAAATCCCACAATTCCGGTAGTTTCGACATAATCGTGAAAAATGTGTAGAAAAAACATTTTTTCACCTTTTGTATTTTCAAAAAGGATGCAGTTACGACATTTTTTACTGAGCAAACCCAACTTATTTTGTAGTATTCTACTCACCCTAGCAAGTGGGTCAGATTTTTGGAAACACCCTGTATAATTATGTTCACTATAAATTGGCATACGAGTTCATTTTGCATATAAAATTCCTTCATTATACATTTCGTGTTATTTAGATATTTTCATATGTATAGAAGGTTTGCCAGTTAACTCAAGATCAAATGTCCAAGAAGTATTTTTTTCTGTGACGGGAAAAAATTTTGAAATTTCATCTCTGTTGACAGGTTATAAAATGTCACTTTTCAAAAATAATTTTTTTCCACCAACGTCAAAAAATGACAAGGTTCGCGCATTGATAACAAATTGCGAAGTGATACTATTTTTCAGTTTCCTACGTTACCATGTTATGTAAAATATGAGATATGTATATTTCAACTTTATCGTCCTCAATCGAGCAAACATCCACGAAATCATTTATTTCTGAATGTTCACCAATAACTTTGTTTTATCTCTTGGAGCGCACGAAAGGAAATTCCTATTATTTTCGTGGAACATCGTGCGTACCTAGGGAGGATAGGGGAGACCTTTTTAGCCAGTTCAACACTATTTTTTATATCAAGCTAAGCATATTTCTACTTTAGAATTATATTTTTTGACGTTTGTAGAAAAAATGTTGTTTGCAACTCGAGCGCGAAATACTTTGGTCGTCTCGACTATTTTTCAGATCGATCACCAAAGTAGCATTCCGCGCTCTAGATACAAAAATAACTATTTTTCCACGGGAAAGTGCACTGTTGATGGCTTTTGTTGTGCAATAGTTAAGAAAAATAAGCCAATAACACCGTCTTTGTGAAAGAACTGCAAGTCCTTTTATCTTCCATTCGACTTCGCGGTTACGTAAATAACTAAACAACCACTGAACTAAATTCGCAATATTTGATTACTTCTAAAGAATGATAAAGATGCCTGTAACGCAGGTGTCGTTCCTGTTAATAACTTCAATTTTCACGTCGATAATAATTTTCTGATTTTAATATAATGTAATATCTTCCCAATATTGATTCGTCCTTTTTCCTGTCACAGAAAAAAATAGTGTATTATACACGGGAAAAATATTACATTTTAGCTCACGGTTTTTTGTCTCCCTCCCCTACGGGTCAGGAGTCAACACAACCTGGAGCTAAAATCTAGTACTTTCTTCCCTTGTATAATAAATAACTATTTGCAATTTTTATTGGCTCAGCTCGTTCAAATAAATGATTGCAACAAAGTGTGAATGATTTTTTTAGATGTTCCGCGGTAACGTGGACGGTGATATGGTGCACAAAAATGAATTCGAAGTTCCAATTATAGCTCAGTGGATCAGAATCAATCCGACTCGCTGGCGAGACCGCATATCTCTGAGGGTTGAGTTATTCGGCTGTGACTATGGTAAGATGAACAAAAACCAAACAAAAATAATCTCATGTACAGGGTTATCCATAGAAAAGAAACAACCCTATATTAACGTTATTTTTTCATCGAGAAAAAAAGAATGCGGTAGTTGAATGCCGCAATGTGGCCTTTCCACAGCCCTTATCGAAGTTTTACAGGGTGATTCCAAAAAGCGTGACGAACAAAAAATTAATTGTTTTAAATGGAACACCCTATTTTTTATATTTTTGTGATTAAAAAAATATAAATGTACAGGGTCATATATTTAATTTTCACTTCTTTGTCACAACTGTTTTGAGCCTAAAAAAAACAAATTTTCTCTGGTTAATTGGTGATCACTCGATCAGTTTGGGAATGTATTCGATAATGATGCAATATACAACTGTCAAATGTATCCTCATTCATGGCTTATACGATATCTGTAGGAGCCAACACTCACTCTGTGAAACCTTTAATAAAGGCTGTGGAAATTCCTCATTGCAGCATTCAACTTCCGCAATTTTTTTTTCTCGATAAAAAAAGGTAACTATAGGGGTGTGCCTTCTCGATGGATCACCCTATATATATTTGATTAACACAATAATTGGACCCCTAGTGTTTTGGAAAGCTGATTGTTTCCTTATCAAGATCCATTGATCCATGCCATTCCATGCGTATCAAAGTTTTACAGTTCTTATACACTAAGTGTTCAACGAAAAGGATTTGGAATTTTCGAACTTCCTTACATTACAATACATTACTTTGAGAGCAGTAGTAATTCCATACAATTCTTGAAAAGTCCATAAACTTCCGTGAAATGGTCTGTTCAGTTTGGTGTTGCTACAATCTTGATAATAATACTATTAAAATTATATTTCTCACGGATCGGCTGCCTTGGTCTAGATTTATGTATTTATTTATTTATTTATTTATTTATTTATTTATTTATTTATTTATTTATTTATTTATTTATTTATTTATTTATTTATTTATTTATTTATTTATTAATTTATTAATTTATTAATTTATTAATTTATTAATTTATTAATTTATTAATTTATTAATTTATTAATTTATTAATTTATTAATTTATTAATTTATTAATTTATTAATTTATTAATTTATTAATTTATTAATTTATTAATTTATTTATTTATTTATTTATTTATTTATCTATTTATTTATTTACTTATTCATTTATTCATTTATTTATTCATTTATTTTTTCATTTATTTATTCATTTATTTATTCATTTATCTATTCATTCATCTATTCATTTATTTATTCATTTATTTCTTCATTTATTTATTTATTTATTTATTTATTTATTCATTTAATTTTTTAATTTTTTCATTATTTCATTTTCTGATTTTTTCATTTATATATTTATTTATTTCAACAATTGAAATGTAAAAAATACAATTTCCCGTTTTTCAGGAAATTAAATCAACTTTCGATTTTGAAATGGGACACTGTATATTATTGCATTTTCGTATATTCGGACTTTTGCACTTACTAAATGAAGGAAACACTGTACTGCACGTTTTTATTCTTTCAACACTTTTTTTGAACAGTTAGTGTGTAATAACTGGAAAACTTTTTGACTAGGTGATAGATCTTGAAAAGAACGACTGTAGCCACGTTCAGATGATTCATTTCAGTTATTGCATTACCTATATTTTATACATATTTAAAGTATATTATTTTTTCAAGTAAGAATGACATGAATGATCAGACAGTAATTAAAATTACAAAAGAGTACTCATACTGAACAAGAAGTGAGGAGAAACAACAGGGTATAAAACAAAAGTATACATTAATATTGTCTATCAGCTTAGATTGTTTCTTTGCATCAGAATATATTTTTTGACTTAATTTTTGAATTCGTTATTCTTTCAAAAAGTAATTACCATTTTGATATTGTCAAGAAACCTAGTGGCCAAGTTGTTGTTTGAGCGCTTCACTGTATTTTTTTTTCAATTTTTCAGAGGCCGACGATATGCACTTCAACGGCACGTCTCTACTGAAATACGATTTGTTCAGAGAACCTATTTCAGCATCTAAAGAAAGTATAAAATTCAGGTTCAAAACTACTTCTCCGAATGGAGTTTTGTTGTACAGTAGAGGAACTCAAGGCGATTACATTGCCCTTCAACTTCGTGATAACAGAATGCTTCTAAATATCGACTTAGGTTTGTAGAGTAATTATTTTTTCACGAAAAGATATCGTAAGGATGCCCTTATTCCAGGTGCTGGAATAGTTACAAGTCTTTGTGTTGGCAGTCTTCTTGATGATAATATTTGGCATGATGTTGTCATATCCAGGAATAGAAGAGACATTTTGTTCTCCGTCGATAGAGTTGTGGTCCATAATAAAATCAAGGGGGAATTCCAGAGACTCAACTTGAACAGAGGAGTAAGATATTTGCATGTTATGTCTCAGTTCATAAATTAATTTGCCCATTATAATTTTTCAGTTTTATATTGGAGGAGTACCAAACATACAGGAAGGCTTGGTAGTTGTTCAAAACTACACTGGGTGTATTGAAAACCTTTACTTGAATTCAACGAATCTATTCCATGAAATTAGGGAAGCTTTTAATTATGGAGAAACTTTCAAATATGAAAAAGTTAATACGCTTTGGAACTGCCCAGTAAGATATTCGATTATTGTTTCGTATTCACATACTAACTTGTCTATTTTAGGAACCACAAATTGTGCCAGTTACATTTAGAACAGCCCATTCGTTTGCAAAGTTGAAAGGTTATGAAGGAGCGTCATCGTTGAATGCCTCGTTTGCATTTAGAACTTATGAAAATGATGGACTCATGTTATATCATGCTTTTGCGACCAGCGGTTATGTTGCTGTAAGTTGATAAGTTATGAAACATTCTGGTGACTTCTACACCATTGAGGTGGTGGGCCCACTCTTCAATTGTTTTGTGACGGGCCGGTTGCATAAAGAAAAATTAATCATACAATCAAATGATGCCACAATAACTTTGATGTTATGTTAAATGTTATTTGCGTTGCATAAACAATCTGATGTTATAATAATCATTCCATTTACTAATGACGAGAAGGGTGTGGCAACAGTGCTAATCTTTCTGCTCCTTGCGTTTCGCACATTGATGATACGCATTTTGGGTTAGGTTTATTTGCTTGATTTTCATACAGATTGACAGAAGTTACAAAAAACCTGAATCGGGTATTGAAATCATTATCACCATACATTTCGAATGGATTGTTTCTATTTCCAAAGGTTCTTGGCCTGGGAATCATTAGTTCATATACCTACTCTACCTTTATGAAATGAAACAAGAACTAAGAACGTTTTTTGCAGATTCTGCAAAAATTCTGCGAAATATTCAAAATAATTTGGCGGAACTCTCACAAGTCATTTGCTGGTTGTCAATTTAATCAGTGATTGAGCACTGATTAAGTTGATGCCATGAATAGTAATTATCATGAGTTAATTAAATAATCAAGTCACCATGCCACTAAGTACATGATGGGCCTTTTATGCAACCGAATTCCATTTATAACGTCGCATCGAATATTTGAAGTGACATCGAATAATTGATGTCACTTCAAATATTTGATGCGAACAAATTGAATTTGAGATCAAAGCGTGGCGTTCTCAAATTCGATGATAGATGGCATGAACGATGGAAAACTTCTGAATGTGTTTCGAATCTTATGAAGTTTGGCCAAAATCCTCCAAAGCACTCCCATCACGTGCAATGTTGAGAATCGTATTATTCGATGAGTATTTTTTGTAAAAAAGACTGGAGGCCGAGGTTGTTCAGTTGCTTGAACCCCAGTTCGTTAATAGCATGGCGTCACTGTGTTCATGTACTTATATGGACTTTCAAGGATGTGTTTACCTTCTTTCGTTTGACCGATAAGGACTCGGAAACGGAAATGCTCCCAAAGGGTCAGCTTCTGTTCAACAAATTAAAAAAAAATTGATGACATCTCGGCTCGAGAGAGATCGAAACACGCTCTATTCGGAATCAGGACGGTGTATAGGAGGTCATTCCCAGAATACTGTGACTTTCAGTGTCCGCCAGTGGTCTCCTACGCTTCGCGTTAGTCTGATTTGTGTATTTTGTTATGTGCGCAATTCTGTATGTTGTTCATATCTAGCCTCTCTCTCCTGAAAAATGTGGAGAGGAGGTAGGTCTAGAAGGATTTCCATAGCTGCTGACGGTGTGGTGCTGATGGCCCCAGTGATCGCCAGACAAGTCTATCTGTAAACTTCTGGTCAATTTTTGTATGAACAAAAGAAAAAAAAACAGATTTGATGACATCTTGACTCGACAGTTGTCACAAGTGTCACGTTTTCGTCTTTATTTGTTCAAATTTTAAATCGATTATAAATCAGTGTCGGTGGTAAAGATAAAAATTCTTTATGGTATGGATGTTATGTTGAGTCATTGTCATTCTAAATTAAAACCTATTTAGTAGACAATAGGTATAATATTGTCTGTTCACTAAAAAAAATCACGAATCGTCCTTGGTGACAATATTTTTAATAGACTAGTGACCTCTATTCCTGTCAAGATCCATCTTCCTGTCAAGTTTGCAATCAAAACTTTCTCATGTTGAAACATTTCAAGTAGTTACTGAAATAAAGGAAAACAGGATGCATAAAGAAAAAAACTGTTGTTTATGCAATGATAAAATTATAGATTTATTGATGTTATTTGAATTTGTGTAGAAACTGGACAAACTCATCAGTGCTGTGGTAGAACATCACTGTTCGCATTTTATCGAATTGATGACATGTAAGCTTAGAATAAAAAGGTTGGAACTTATTGATGATAACTCACTAAATTCGTGATTCCTGGAATATCAATTTATTATTATAAAATAAATAATACCTATGTGACTCCAGAAGAAACTCTTACCTGATGTTGTTGGAAGGCATTGCATGTTGACACAAATTCACGTCATAGTTGAGAAAGGAGTGTTAAAAAATGCACATACCTCCTCCTCTTGTAGAAGTGCAAAATGGAGCACTAATATCAAACAAACAACAAACCAACAACTAACTTGAGATTATAAATTCAAATCAAAATTGCAATTTGTCTGAAGTGGCGTTTTTCAGTAAACAAGTGCCACTGACAGGCAGACGAATTTTGGGTCAGTGGACAGACAATATTATTAAACCTCTCGTATATTAACTAGGTTATCATTCAGAATGACAATGGTTGTGTAAGTGTATTGTACTTTTATCATCGACTGACGTTGCTGCAATGTGTGCAGATCATCTGAAAATACGAACTTTTGTTTGTTTTTTTTCGCCAAAAGTGAATTGAGAAATTTTTGTAACAGATTATCCTTGCATTACAACTTAAGTTGTATATGAGTTAGACAAGTCAAATGAATCTACCTGTAAATTCAATTTGAAACTTTGGAAAACAAGATTTTCCCACTTATCGCCACTCTTGCGAAGTAGGCGAATTTTTATACAACTATGGTACCATAATGTTCATCATTCGTTGATAAAATTTCAACATGAGATATTTTTGTTCACAAACTTGACAGGAACATTGTGATTTTCAAGGTCTAAAATTAAAAATGAGTAACTAAGTACAAGTGGATGTCTCTGCGGTACAGAATTGTGCCACAATAAGGGTGATTTTCGAATGTGGTGTTCAATGACCAGACAATGTTACCTACCAGCCTACTAGCTAGCGTCTTCATTCAGATCGAAAATGTTTTATCTGTCACAGTGTGTATCTGGGAACAGCTGAAAGTCGAACTGGTCACCCCCAACATCCCCAAAGTCGTGTTCGACAACTACGACGACTAATTCAACGACGGCAGATGGTACATACACGGTTGTGCTCACGATCTCCGCCAACAAGATAATCTTACAGCGTATTCCCATCGCATTGGCCCATTTGTCAGAAGGCGCGCATCAAGGTCATAAAGCTAGAAAGTCGGTGTCTATCCGACTTTGCGCGGAAAAATCTCACAATTATAGAACCACATAAATAGTTATCATATTATGCAGTGCGGGCAGCAGTAGTAGTAAAATATAAAAATGTGGTTTCTAGAGGATGTACACCTAAAACTCAACTGAATTTGACAGTCACTGTCATTTTTCCAACTTTATAACAATAATAATAATCTTCTGTAGTAGTCCATGCTCAAAGTGGAGTGGAATGATCAATAGAGAAAAAAAACCAAAGTCGCCTCCACAATATTTAATGTAGGATTGACTGCCAGATTATACATTAAATATTGTGGAGACGACTTTGGGTTTTTTTTTCTCTATTAATAATAATAATAATAATAATGAATCGTCTTAATTCATCATTTGCAGAAAAAAACATCGCACAAATAAAAATCAAAATCAAAGATATTTTGCCAAACCTTATACCTATCTGCAATGGTTAATAGGCAAAAAGCTGTTTTTCAACTCAACTCCAAAAATGAAATTGGAAGAACAAGTTAATTTACAAGAATATAAATCATAAAAGGTGTAGAAACAATGTAGATGCGTTATTTCTCGAAGAAATACAATAGATCGACATAATTGAAAAATTCGAATAAAAAATTGTATAATATTGAGGATTGAATGAACAAAGGATTGTCAGAAAGGCATTGCTAGATTTTTGATAATAAAAAGACCTACCTGGCTGAGAGATCAAGCTTAAATCTCTTCTTAAAGTTACTGAGAGTGAAAGATCAAAATTTCATAGGAAGTGAATTATAATATTTGCTAGCTGTATAAGAGAAACTGCGTTTGAAGAAAGATGAATTATGTTTTGGGATAACAAGAGTTTTATTGCGATTGGAAATTCGGTTGATATCTGAGAAAGTTTGTAGTCTTCTGTGGAGGTAACTAGTTTTACCGGTTTTCAGAACTATATAACCTTTTCATGTGAACCATGCGCCAGTTTCATACACTCCTTCTGCTATATGCTCAAGCTAGCATATCAACGGGCCCTAACTCAGTGAAGGCAGATGTCTCTACGGCACAGAAAACTGTCTCAATATGGGCGATTTTTGCAATATTTTTCCATACTTACTCGTTTACCAGCTACCTTCTTTATTCGCATCGGCAATGCTTTGACTATCATAGGTGTATTTGGAAACTGGCAAGCTGAAAGTCGAACTGGTCGCCCCAAACATCCCCAAAGTCGTGTTCGACAACTACGACGACCAATTCAACGACGGCAGATGGCACACGGTGGTACTCACGATCTCCGCCAACAAGATAATCTTCAACGTCGACTACCGCCCGATGGTGACGTCCCGCCTCCTGAAAATCGTCACGGGCGGCCAGTACTTCATAGCGGGCGGCGTGACGGCCGCCCTGGGCTATTCGAACACCATCTTCCCGGGCTTCGTGGGCTGCATGAGGACGATCGGTATTGACGGCAATCACAAGCTGCCCACCGATTGGACCAGGGAGGAGTATTGCTGCGGCGAAGAGGTCGTGTTCGATGCTTGCCATATGACGGACAGGTGTAATCCGAATCCTTGTCAGCACGGTGGAGTGTGCAAGCAGAATTCGATGGAGTTTTTCTGCGTGTGTAAGGTGAGGACTTTGAATTTTTGTCGATCTTTGGGACGGAACCCATTACACTCATTGATTCAGTTAAATTTGGAAAGTAAAGAGTCGATGTGAAGCGGCAACGCGGTTTTAACACGCTTCCTTGCAAAATCATCGGTAATTTCAAAATTCCACACCTAAAATTTTCGACCAATTAAAAGACTGTATTTTGTATCGTTACCATAGCAACTGGGCAGATTTCCGGAAATATTTTGCTCATTCTTGAATTAAGGAGTATTTATTGACGTTCATAGGCAAGATGTTGAATTTATTTCATAAGTTGATAAGTTCCATCTAGGAAAATATACAGTGAGGACGTTAAAAGTCCTTCCCCTCCTTTAAATTTTAAACGGAACAAGCTAACGAGGTCGGGTATTCAAGCAAAAAGGTACCTATTTTAATACTTTTACATGCCTATTCAGTAAAATATTATTTTACGAGTCATTAAGTTAACAACTATCGTTATCCTAATGTGTAACGACAATTCAAACGTCTTGATAAAATGGATTCTGTAAAATATGTCGTTGAAATATCTGAGAATTAACAAGAAGTATACATTTTCAGAATAGATAGTGTTACGTTATTCGGGTGCAGAAGCGAACACGACACTATTTATTTTCGAATTGATTTATTTAAACTAAAGAAACACTAATTTATATCGAACTTATAACTACTATTTATGTAAAACGATTTATATCACGCGGTATATAACTGTCTCTCTGACACTCGCTGCTTAACTGACTGACTCAGTTGTTCGGCCGTCATATATATGAGAACACATGACAGGCTTTGGTTCGAGAACGTTCTCGAATGATCTTTCGTCTCCTTCTTTTTGTTCTAGAAGCATCTTAGAACAAATCCTCTCTCTCTAATTGTTCCATCGATTGTTTCCAGAACATTCCAGAATCTTCGGTGACGTTATTTGTCACTGCGGCTCATATTGGGTGTTCAGAAATATGCTGGTGTATGTAGGAATCATTGAGAGGTTTTTGAAGAGCAATCTGGGATGCGTGATACAGGATGATCGTTGTACTCCTGCCTTCCTGCTGATGTTTCTAAAACACCTCTAAGGGGAATATCATTACAATAGTATGACATAATGTGACATTATTTGTCATAAACTTGACAAATCGTTATGTATATGGATGAGAGGATATTATGCGTTGATTGTTTTTGTGTTCATGTTATCCTACCGATACTCTAAAATAGGTATCGTCTATAAACGATGTTCTGATGACAGCTTGTCGTTCGTTACCGACTGTCAAATCGGTAGTGAATTCGATTCAAGAAAATTATCGTTATTTAACGATATGTCATTCACTAACGACACATAACGATAACGTTATGAGCTACTGAATAGGCCTGCTAGGCATGAAAATGTTTGTGGTTACATGGCCTAGTGTCAAGTAGGCACCATCAATTTTTTGTAATGTAATGAGGGGTCACGTGGTACTTTGTTTTGAAAGATTTTCGTTTCTCTATCTAACACTGCTTCATTTGTGCAAATCAGCCAAGCCGTTTTGAAATGACAAGTGTTTGAAGTTTACCTCGGAAACAGTAAGTAACGTTCGGATTAGGGTTCCAAAACCAATTTTTTTGTGTCAATTAAGCGAACGGTGATCATAACAAGCATTTTAGAGCACTTGTTACGATTGTAACTTCAAACTTTGTGGCAATTGAAAGTAATTCAGGTTTTTATTTATTAATATTAATATTTGAAGCAAATGTCCAACGTTTGTCAGTGTTAAACGGCTTGGCCGATTTTCACAAACGAAGCGGTATTGGTTAGATAATCAACAGGCCTTCAAAACCAGGAACCACGTGACCCTCCGTTTCATTTGAAAACAAAAGATAATGACCTCTTGACACTAGGCCACGTGACCACAACCAATTTTATGCTAAAAAGTTGTTACCTGAATTTTACCTGACCTCGCTTGCTTGCCCCGTTCCAAAGTTGAAGGGAGGAGGAATTCTTACGTCCTCACTGTATTTGTACCTACTTTAGGTTAATTAATTTGTGAAAAACTGAGAGATTGAGCTATTATTATCAACTTATTTTATTGTTTCATCCAACTAGTCGTCAGATTTTATTCAATTACACGAGAGCTTTTTTTGTCGAAGTAAACTTGACATATATATCAATAAGAATTTTGTTGCCTGGCAATCTAACGAAAAAAACTGCCTCTGAAAAAATTACGACTCCGTAGGACGAGTAATTTTTCGTGGCAGATTCAACTTAACAAATTCATTAATTTTCATTCAACCAAAAAACTTGCATAGGGGTGTAAACTGAATGGAAAAAGAGAATGCTGGTAAAATAATAAAGAGATGTCGAGCGTCAACGAGACAAAATAAACAGAACACCTAGTATTAAAATCATATGATAATGGAACACAAATTGAAAATAAAAATCATGAACTCACTAAAGAGCGTGATTCTTCATGACGCGTGAGATCGAAAACTAAACTTATTAAAAAATGTTACCCGCGTTCGCACTACTCGCGATCTCTCATCGTAATTCCGGCTTTCTAATCAAACCCTATATTCCTCGTTTCGAAAAATAATAAGTCAGCGATAATCTACCCGCTCATAGGTGGAGGCGACCTGGTACAAATGAAATAATACTAATTGTAATTGGATTCCTGATTTCTTTAGCTGGTAACTACGATCATTTCATTTCATTTATTTGATCATGTTATGTATATACAAATACATTTATGACAGGTCACATGATAGTATAAAACATAATAAAGACAATAATTCATATACTAATTATTACAGAACAACATATTAAAAAAAAAATCAGTAGGTACACAATTTTATCAGATGATTAGAGCATACTAGCAAAAGAGAACGGCTGGATATGTAATTATTTTATTTGATTCACGATTCAGTGAGTATATTATGTAAACCCTGTTTCATGAAGTTAGTATATTCCTCAAGGGAGTAGAAGGCATTTTCAATCAGACATGATTTGATAGTTTTTTTTTCAAGTTGAATATATTCATATCTTTGACTTCAGTAGGAAGAATATTATATTGGCTATAGTTTATAGAATTCTTTTTCGATTCAGTGAGCCGATATCTAGGCATCATTTTGCTCCTCTGGTATCATGGTGATGAACGTCTGAATGCGTTGTTATTATTGGAGATTTTTTTGTGATGAGAAGTGACGGAAGAGAGAAGATTTTTAATTTCTTGAAAAGAGGTCTGCAAGATTCTCTATAATTTGCATTCCTCAAAATTCTTATGGCCTTTTTTTGCTGTCTGAAGACAGTAGAAGCTGCCGATGAGTTACCCTACAGTAAAATTCCGTAATTGAGGTGGGACTGAATTAAGGAGAAATATACCGTTCTGAGAGTAGTAGTGTTAGTGATGCGTCTTAGTTGTCGCAAATTGAAAAGTGAGCTAGATAGTTTCATATTCAGTTGGCTAACGTGAACCGACCAATTGAGCTTATAGTCTAGTCAGGCCTAATAGTTTTACTTCTCCCTCTTCTTGTAAGAACGTGGTAGTAGTGATAAAGAGTTTCTGAGTTTTTTCGTTGTTCAGTTTCAGTTTGTTGGCGATAAACCAAAGTTCGGCTTTTTCCTCTACTTCGTCAGAAAGAGAATTTAGGTAGTCATATTCTTCATGAGAATAAATCAATGTTGTGTCATCTGCGGATAGGATACTATTGTATGGAGTCATATATGAACATAGGTCATTGATGTAGATTATGAACAGTAAAGGGCCCAAAACAGAACCATGTGGCACACCAAATCTCACATCTCTGAATTCAGATAGTTTGCTGTTAAAATATACAGCTTGAAAACGATTTGTTGAATATGATCGACTGTACTGTCTTCCGGAAATGTAAAATAAGCTATAAAAAATATATTTATTGAGAAAAGAATAATTGAAATTTAAAATAACTGAATAGAATACGAATGAGAATTATATCTTGACAATTTCATATTTTTAGGGCACCGGCTACGGGGGAGCAGTTTGCCATTCAGCTGAGAACACCCTGTCCTGCGTGGCGTACAAGAACGTACAAGCCGTCGGCCAAAGGGCGGAGATCAAAATCGATGTGGATGGCAGCGGGCCGCTCGCTCCATTTCCAGTGACTTGCGAATTTCATTCCGACGGTACAGTAGCCACCATTCTGCATCACAGCAATGAAGAGACCACACCAGTCGATGGATTCCAGGTGGGTATTCTGATACTGTGGTCACAAAAAAAACGGAAGTTTTTTTCTTCTTCGTGGTTTCATCATTTTTCAACCGAATTTGAATTTCTTGACGTGATTTTGTAGCTAAAGGGCTATAGTATACAGTGCAATATTTGAAAATTCCATAATTGAAAGAAACAAAATGGTGGAGTATCTCAAACATTTGTTACTTCTTCTTCTTCTTCTTCTTCTTCGAAGCACTGGTGGGCGGGTGAACCCCCTGCACGTGGGCCTCCTTATTCGGGCCCATTGTGCGCCCACATGTTACAACATTCAGCTGGGTATGCCGACTGCCTTGGAGAAGTTCAGCAGCTTCCTCAGCTGAATCTCTTTTACGTCCTCTGGCCTCAAGATTATGTTGCCAAGGACAGCCCTCCTCTGATGCGTCAGTGCTGGACACTCAGTGAGGACATGTGATGACGTTTCGTCATCTTCCAGGCACCATCTGCAAAGGGGGTCATCCTTGATCCCAATGAGCTCTAGGTGCCTATTGAGGTGGTTGTGCCCCGTTAGGAGCCCCACTACCATTTTAAGGTTTCGCCTGTTTAGGAATAAAACCTCTTTTGCGAGCCTCTTCGAAGGTTCCTTTATGTGGAGCTTCGATTGTCTCATTCCTGGTGTGTCCTTCCATATTTTGAGGAATTGCTTTTGCAGCTGTTCCTCTATAGAGGACATTGCCAGGCTATTTGGTATTCCCAAGATTGGTTCCGGTCCGACCGGGGTCCGTCCTGAACCGATCTTTGCCAGTCTGTCTGCCTCCTCGTTTCCGGGTATTCCCGAATGTCCCGGAACCCACATGAGGCTGACTTTTCTTGATTTTGCCAGGTTTTCCAAGGCTTTTCTGCACTCGGACACCAAATTGGATGTGATCCTATTGGATTGCAAAGCCAGTATTGCAGCTTTGCTGTCCGAGCATATAGTGATTGGTCTATGACCTCTCATAATTAGGTTTTCTTGGACACAGGTGAGTATTGCAAGTACTTCTGCCTGGAACCCTGAGGCATATTCGCCCAAAGGAACTGAAATTTCTTTCCCTGTTCCTTCATTGTATACCCCTGCACCTGAACCGCCCCCAAATTTTGAGCCATCCGTGTACCAGATTGACTCATTCGGAGGAGGCACGCCAGGTGTTGTGTCATTCCATTCTTCCCTCGTAGGGATGACAGTGTTTGGGGCTTTGTTGAAGTTCAGAATTGGCAAGGTATTATCCCTTCTCATCATGAGGATGGGACAGTTTTCCTTTGCCTTATTCCATATGAGGGAGTGGCCTTGATCTGCTTCTGTTCCGACCCACTGGTTTGCACCGTTGAGTCGGTAAGCAGTTCTCATGGCTTCGTGTTGTATGAACAGGTGTAGAGGCGGCAGACCTAACAGAACTTCAAGAGCCCTGGTAGGCGTCGTTCTCAGAGCACCTGTTATTCCCAGGCAGGCCAGTCGCTGGACTTTATCCAGTTCTCTGTTGGTCTTGCCCTTATTGGTACTGGTCCACCATACAATGGACCCGTACGTAAGTGTTGGGCGTATTACTGCCGTGTATATCCAGTGAAGGGTCTTAGGTGTGAGACCCCATGTTTTTCCAAAGGCTCGTCTGCATGCCCAGAAGCAGCATACAGCCTTCTTAGTGCGGTTTGCAATGTGCTCATTCCAAGTGAGCTTGGAGTCTATTATAACTCCAAGATACTTTGATGAGCTTTTATATTGGAGACACTTTCCCGAGAGAAATATCTCAGGAAGTGTTCCTATTTTGCGTTTCTTAGTGAATAATACCAAGTTCGCCTTTTCTGGATTGACTCTTAATCCACTGGTGGAACACCACTGTTCCACTTTATTGAGGGCTTCCATGATTGGATTTCCTAGCCGGTTCGCCGATTGATTTTGGGCCATTATTACCAAGTCATCTGCATATGCTTGCGCATATAGCCCTGGCTTATTCAAATCTATGAGGAGCTCGTCTACTACCAGGCACCATAGTAGTGGTGATAAAACCCCTCCTTGAGGGCATCCTCTTGATACCTTGGCAGCAACCGACCTCCCACATAGTTCTGCTTTTACCACTCGCTGCGAGAGCATGGCCCTAATCCACCTGGTCAAGGTTTGGTGGACCCCATGTCTATCCGCGGCGTGGCATATCGATTCAAATGACGTATTGTCAAATGCTCCTTCTATGTCTAGAAAGACTCCCATGGCTGAGCGTCCACCAGCTAGCACTCCATCTATCTTATGGACAAGATGATGAAGAGCCGCATCTGTGGACTTCCCAGTCTGATAGGCATATTGTTGTGCATGCAGCGGGTTTATTTGCAGTGGCACATCTCTGATGTATCGATCTATCAGCCTCTCCAGTGTTTTCATGAGGAAAGACGTGAGGCTGATGGGTCTATACGCTTTGGCATCGGAATAATCTGTTTTCCCTGGTTTCGGGATAAATACGATCCTAACCGATCTCCATTCCACTGGTATGTGGCCCAGAGCCAGACAGGACCGAAATATCTTCATTTGTGACTTACAAAAACCGCTGGCAAATAAGAAAAACAGGGCCGTTTAGGGCAAGCTACGCCACTGGACAATATGATACCTCTCGCTTACTGACTAGGTTTCCATTTAGAACGACAATGGTCAGGTAATTTCATCTGGTATACTGGGTGTTTCTTTTGGATTATAGCAATCTGAAATACACCTTGCCACCATGAAACAAAACAACTTTCAGAAACCCGGTAGCTTTATCCAAGGTATCCACTACGAGGCCGACGACGACCAAATCGCGGCCCTGATCATAAGGGAAAAAAATACACTTTTTAATGAGATAATTATGGATTCACACGAAATATGTTCAAATTATTTATTTTCTGTAGTAGTCGATACTCAAAGTGGAGTGGAATGATCAAGAAAGAAAACTCAAAGTCGTCTCCACAATTTTAATGTCTAAGGAGGCAGTCAATCCAATGATCATTGTTATACTTATAAAAATCACCGTCGCTCTTTTATCCTACTGAAATTTGTGAATTGGGCGTCCTGATTCCGAATCCGAAGTGATTTTCAACATATTTTGACTCCTAATATCATTTTCCGGAAATTGGAGTGGTTCCATGGCTGTTGGCGAGCAGTGTATATCACTGAAGATGACCCCACTTGGTCATAGAGTGCATTTTTGGTATATCTCTCGCTCCAGCAAATTTCATGATCCTTACCCAACGATTACGTGAGATACAGGGGTGGCCCGCTTTCAAATGGGTCACTCTGTATGGTTGAATCAGGAAATCCACATGGAAATTACGTATGATACGCCATTGTCCTCAATGTAACCAAAAAAACAACAGATGTCAGAAATCTAGTGTACTTATACAGGGTGTTTCCTAACTACGGCTCCTAACTGCAGGGGGTAATTTGTTAGGTCATTTTTAGAAGAAAAGTTCCTATGAACATATGTCCGGAGTTGCTTCGTTTCTGAGATACAGGGCGTTGAAATTGAAGAAGAAAAAAACGGTAATTATAAAATATCATAAATATCCTGGAACCGATTTGGTTGAAATTTGGTACTTTTATTTGTCAAATTCTCTAAAATTTCAGAATATCAAGTTTCAATTATATTTTTACCGGAAATAATGAAGAACTCATTTCTCCAATGCAGGTGTTCATGATATGCAATACAGTGGCTTTAATTTTTTTTCTCGGAAACGAAGCTGGATATGAAGAAAATACAGGAGACCAAAAAGTTGTATATTTAGTTGCTCAATCTGAGAAAAATAGAAATTCTTCAAAAAAAGTCAGTGGCGTACTTTTTTTTACAATATTGTTGGCTGTGGCGCCCACTGCTACGTCACTAGCCCCAATAATTTCAATCAAAATAGGGCTAAATAAGCGCCTTATTAGTTCAAATAAAGGTACAAAATTTCAACCGAATCGCTTCCAGGATCTTCTTGATATTTTGTAATTACCATTTTTTTTCTTCAATTTCATCACCCTGTATCTCAAAAACGAAGCAACTCTGGACATATGTTCATAGGAACTTTTCTTCCTGAAATGACCTAACGAATCACCACCTGCAGTTAGGAACCGTAGTTAGGAAACACCCTGTATATCCAGAATTGAATGAGGATGGAATTATATTGCACATGATACAGTCTAAGGAATATTCCCATGATAACAGATTTTTTCTAATTCTTCTAATTAACGAGAAATTTCACCCCGAAAATTGAACAAAATACGAGAAAAAAATCAAGTACGCCACTTTGAAACAATTTAAATGATTGAAATCCGCTTGATTGTGCCTACCGCATGGAAATTTGAACAGAAGTGACGTCAGATTTGCTACAGTGTAGAACTTTGGATGGAAAAAGTGGTCTAACCTCAAATTTTATTTTGATCCCTAAATGTTTTTTATTAGTGCCATTCGATAGTCTACGTCGAGCTTTCTCAGTGTTTGAAATATTTGCACTTATTTCAATGCCACCCTGTATAACTGTTTCACAAATACTCTAGAGTGAGAGGAGACGAGGTTCTCTCTGTACCCTGTTAAGATGACAAATACGTCAGTTTGTATAGGTCGCGTGCACGATGACCGACCCTGCAGGTAAAATATTGAAACACAACCTCACTTTTCTGTAAAGGATTGAAACACAACCTCACTTTTTTCATTTGTTTACAAGGATTGAAATAGTTTTTCACAATATTTTGGCATACGGATCGTGTTTTTTGCGCTATTCATTAATTCAAGTATGCCTTCTCATTGTACTGTTGTACAATGCACAAAAAATGCAGCGAGGGACAAAGGAATATGATTTGTCAGGTAAATAAATAATCTCACATAATTTTCATTATGAAATTTTGTCATTTCCTTCTGCCACTACTGCAATAGAAGCTAATACTGCTAAAAGATTGAAAATGTCTACAACACACATGATCATATTTCGTCAGCATGTCAGACCAGTCCTCCCGTTTGATTGCATGAATCCAATCTTGCATTATTCTAGAAATTTCATGAGTATTTCTATTAGTTCCTATTGCAGATTGCAGAAAAGCTATTTCAATCACTTGTAAACTAATGAGAAAAGTGAGGTTGTGTTTTAATGTTTCACCTCCAGGGTCGGTCATCTGACAGTTCTTGCACGCAACCCATCAAGGGACCCTAGGTTCTAGGAAAAATGTCATCTCCAGTCGAAGTGAACACAATACGTCAATCATCTAGTATACCAGGTGTTTCTTTTGGAATGCAGCATACAATGTGAACCTCCATAAAACAAACCAACTTTCAGGAACCCGGCAGCTTCATCCAAGACATCCACTACGAGGCCGACGACGACCAAATCGCTGCCCTGATCAACCGATCGTCCACCTGCCGCCAGCACATCCAGTACGCCTGCAAGGGCGCCCGCCTAATGAACTCCCCCTCGGACGAGACCACCCACCGACCCTACTCCTGGTGGGTGTCGCGGCACAACCAGAAGATGGACTACTGGGGCGGCGGGTTGCCGGGCTCGAGGAAGTGCGATTGTGGGGTGTTGAGCACTTGCACGGACCGCACGAAGTGGTGCAACTGCGATGCTCAGTCCGACGTGTGGCAGGTCGACGCGGGCGATATAATCGAGAAGAACGATTTGCCGGTGAGTGTGACAAGAGTCTCGAGATCATACCCGTGTGTTCACCGAACACGCTCGATCGTTACCTAAGAGGTGGGGAGACCGAGACGTAAGCAGGCAGTCATGATACAATGAGTGGGCAGGCAGCTTCTCTCATGCTGTCTTTGTTTTTGTAGTACGGGGTGGGCCACCAACAGTTTTCTTGATCACATTTCAACTTTTTTTTTTTCGAATAAATAAGAAACATTTGATAGGCATCAAGTAATCTACTGCGACCTATCAGATAATGAAAGCGATGATTTGATTTGCAATAATTCGCTATGACACGACGAGTCCTACATGTAAATAGCGAACCACTCATCGAAAATCATGAAACTATATGTACATATTATATGCTTATGTTTTGTTGACGAGGACGCTCGTTTTATTCAAATTATTTTAGATAATGTTCATCTGCTTCACTAGAAATTATTATTAGTAGTTATGTAGTACTTAGTAGTAAAGTATAGTAGCAGCTTTGTTATTCAAAATGGAACACCTTATGGGTATTTTATTACATTTTTTGATTCTTCTAATTGAGCTATGATTTCGTTGATCAAGCTCAAGGTATACCACTTTGTAGAATGTGAAAAATCGAGATTTTTTTTGTATCGAAACTATACAATACCTATATTGATTTGTCAAAATGGCTTACATGTGTCCCTATCCTAACATTCTATTTACTATCTACTGATGCCATTTAATTGAAACAAATACAGGGTGGATCAGATTTCAGAATTATATAAAAGAAGTACTAGCTAGTATGCCTACTAAAAAAATATATATATATTTGAAATAAACAAAACAAATATATCACATAAAAAAACACACTCTAATATTCAACATAAAATAAAATTCAATCCCACTGGATGTATTTAAAAACAGTGTGCATGTTACTTCTATAATGGAATATCAACCCGTATATCTAACGTAACTGTTCAATTTTAAGAAGCGATAGATATATATATACCAACTATGACCAAAGTGAGGTTATCTTCAGTCTAAAACACTGCTCTGGTCATGGACCCACCAACATTTCCGGAAAATGATATTAGGAGGCAAGATAGGTTGAAAATCACTTCGGATTCGAAATCAGGACGTAACCCTGTACCTCGAAAACGAAGCAAGTTTAGGACACATGTTTATATGACCTTTATTCATCATATTATATCACAAGGAATCATCCCTTGAATTATTTCGGTGTTATTTAGATACACCCTGTATAGATCATTCTTCATATCAATATAGTTATTCAACATTTTTCCCATAGCGAAGTTCAGCAAATACCGATGGCGAGAGCACTATGTTTATTGATTTGATGTCTACCTATAATATATGTAAAACAAGAAGGCACAACTACTAGTGTTCCGTTTCGAAGTACATTAAATAATTGACAAAGGACCCCGCACTTTTTCTATATAAAAATGGCGTTCCGTCGAATTTCCCCAATTTTTGGTAAATGATAGTACTCGACATACTGATTGAATATGCCAAGTCCCAACTCAATCCTATGACTAGTTTACGAGATACAGGGTGTTGAAGTTGAAGAATACCTAATTTTTCTCGGCCTATATCTCTAAGATAGGACAAATGAATTCCAATTTTTCGGGAGCACGTAATAGTTATGCCCTTAGGCGCAAGAACTATATAGGTATTCGACCAAAACTGATTTTTATTACAGGGTGATTCTCATTTCAAATAATGTGTTTTTTTGAATATCTGAATATCAATGCTACAAATTGATAACAATTACAAAATGAGATTTATAGCCAAGTATGCTCTTCTTACATCAATTGAATTCGTAAAATATAATAATTATACATGGTGTTTCATTAATGCTGTTGATTGCATAATTGGTCTATCCTAAAGTTCATTGGGCCACCTCGTATTATCGGGTTGATTCCAGACATTCAAAATATTTTTGAAGGATGTATCCCAATGAGTTCCATGATATACAGAGTGATTCATCGATTGAAAAAATTGACAACCACGAAAAAATATTCAAAAACCACTATTTTTTTCATCACCCTCTAATTCGAAATTATTACCGTCGATGTAAGATTTTTTTCCACCAATATACTCAGTATGGATATTTCAATCAAATTGGGAATTTTCAGACCCATGCTATGACTAGTTTTTTTTATACATCGAATAATGTGAAAATAATTATGGAAAAGTAATTACATAATAACACGAAAAATTGCTCCGAATCGCAAAACTAGTAGTCACTAGTCAACTATGTCAAAAAATGTGATTTGTTCGTAAACAAAATCTAGTGGTCTTATTATAGGTCCGCTAGCAAAACATCTCGAAAATGTTTTTCAGAAAACATCAAACAAATCACAATATGCCCCCGAAAAAATCTCATCAACGACACAACTATTCTACGCACCCCTTTCATCAACTTTCAACTCATCAACGATCCCACTCATAAACGTGCTAAAACTCATGAGCGTTCGAAGTCGACAGCGGTTTTTCCCAACTCAATCCTATGACTACTTTTCGAAAAAAGTATGAAACTAAACTTCCGCAAACGCCTAGTAAGAGGTGCGCGTTAATATATTTTGCAACTCTCCTATATCCAACCAACTTCCAATCTTTTGACCATACTGTATATTGTTAGAATCGAAGTTAGTATATGCACATCGCAAAGACACTAAAGTTGGAGTTTTGGTTATGTAGATATTCGTTACCGGGTTCAGTATAGGCCTGAAAGAAAAATGTCAATTAAGAATTTCAATCACAGATTTTGAAAAAATAGACAAACCAACTCGTTTCCCCACCACCTGAGAGGTAGAGTTTCAGGCGCGTTTTTTTTATTGTGGTATCCCCTGTAGGCCTAGTCCACGTTAGAAAGTGAAAGTTCCAATACCTATAATATAATTGTGTGTAGGCAGGATTGGCGCAGTGGACGAGCACCCGAGTCAGGACTGCGGGGTCGTGGGTTCGATTCCCAGACAGCGCAAGGAATTTTTCGAATATTAATATACGAATTAAATATTGTGAAGTTTCGGAGCATCGGCTGGGGATAGTCCTGCACGATTCACTGTTGCGTGCCTACATACAATATAGATACATGTTCAGAACACTATGGGCTAAAGGACCTCATTAGGGATCGATGGTTGGTTGGTATGTACATACCTACCAACGAAGGACATATACTACTACTACTACTATAATTATGTTTCACAAGGAACACAGAAATCAACTAATCGCCAGATTCAAATCAGTTCCGGACCGATGTTCATATTTTCAGGATTCAATCGATTTGCAGCATCGTCGATACAATTCAAAAGGCGATCAGATGGAAAGGTAATATTTCCTTGGTTTCTTGCGTATCCAAGGAACCATACCACACTGGCTACATGTGCACACGTCCCTAATGTTCTAGCACCGGACCTACAAGTACAGTAGTACCCTAAAATGGGCGGATCTTGTAAATTATTATCATCGATTTCTCTGAATACTAACCACAGCATATGTTTAGTGGCATTTCTGAACCGAGAAAATACTCGAAATCTTAAAAAATTGGGTTCCTCAATGAGTTCGTCAATATCGAGTGTATTTTGTTCCCCTCCATCTCTTTGTATCGTGTCTTGTATGTAGGAGGCAGCTAAGTGAATGTGATATGACCCTGTGAGTGTTTTCAAATATTCTAAGTCAAGTCGAGGAAACGTCGGTACATGTCTATGGTTCAAACGAAACCATCGACCATTTCTTGTACGGAGGTTTTCAGCCTCAACTCGGGCCTGAACAATGTTGACTTCTTCGATATCATGCAACATTTGTGTAGCTAATTCCAATGTGCCCGGCATCCTTATTGGAGGATGGTATTTGTTTATTAGGGCGCCAGCAATCAAATAGAATTCGCGTAATTTTGCAACATGTGTTATTGATATCGCTCCTCGGAAAAATTTGAAAATCGATTTGAAATGCCCATTTCTAGCCTCTACAATCCATCTGGTGCTAGTAATTAAGCGTGCCCTATTAGTTTCGATTGTTGTGAGTTGTCTTTGGTTTGGTGGTAGAAATGGTGGCATATGGTAATGGAGACCAAGATCCTGTAAAAGACCAATAGAGTCCCTATAACCCCTATCGACTATCACTACATCGCCTTCTTGAAACCATGTCCTCATTCTATTTATATCATTCTGTAGCTCATGCTGCAGAATGGTGGCATCATTATTTCTAGCATCAGAAAAGTATAGACCATTAATTGCCAAGATGTAGCCATCAGGAGCGACCATAATTTCAGGCTTAACCAGGTGCTCATTTTTATGGAAGCAGTAGGATTGTCTCAATATCCGGAAATTACTACTTTTTTCTATTTTGTTATATGTACAGTCTATATACACAATTGCTTTTGGGATATTGGGAGAAGGGTTGTATAGCTGATTGGTGTATACAGACACGTGTCTATTAATATAATCGTCTCTTGTAATAGAGTCGAAACCAATATTATTAGTTACAAATCTTTGCATTAGAGATATCCTCACATTCGATATTATCAAGCTAGTTGTTTGTCTTGAAGAAAAATGAAACAAGATTTTCAAAAACTCATCTGAAACTCCATGTTTCATTTTGATTAGAAATGTCAGTAAATGTTTCTTTTTGATATGCCTTCTATTTCCCCCTTGCTCGATTGTATCACAAAATCCATAAAGTTCTTGAAAATCTTCTTTTGAAATCGACGTCAGAGCTTTGAACTCTTCTTCTGTAAAACTATCAATATCATCCCAGTTTCTAATACGTCTATTTTCATTGGCAACTGTTCTCATACACTGTAGAAATTGAAGCATATTTGATATCAAATAGGGTTTGTTGATAAAATTCAAACCTCCATGCAAATTATTCAAGAGAAATCCATGAGGGTCAAGATGATGACCACAAATTCTCAGAAAGTCCGGAACATAAATATTCGTTACAACAAAAATGTTCACCCTACATGCAAGAGTTATTCTCTGAACATGTTGACGAGCATTACA